TGTATCGATCAACGGGTTTATTAGGGGATTAACATAGAAGCGATTTTTATTCTAATGAGCCGATCTGTTAACGCCCAGGGTGTCAACTGGGCCTGACTCCCATTTAATCTCTCTTCCATTCATTGCATTAGGGCGCTATTATCATATGCTGATTTCTATGACCCCGACCACACCCTTGCTCATGATGGATGGTCCTGAAGAAAGGTGCTAAACTCATTAACAATATTATTGTTGTTTGGCTTCCAAGTCAAGATTATAGATGTGATTGAAAATTTAAAACAGTTCTAAGCAACATGTTGAACACGATAGCCAAGAGAACAAAACAACCTACGAAACCCACTTGAAAGTAGAAATATAAAGCCTAGTATGAATGAGGAATATATAAGTCTAAGGTAGAGCTTGATCCTCAACGTTTAACAGAGAAAGGTCGCAGATAGTTAGAGCGACCGATAGATAGAGATGAAGAGAGAGAGAGTGAAAGAGAGAGAGAGAAGGAAAGAGAGAGAAAAAAAGAAGAAAGTGAGAGATTGGAAAATATAGTAAATGAACAAAAATTATAATCATAAATCCAATAATTAACCCAATGCCGGATCAACATTTGATAAATAAATACATATATAGAAAGAGGCGAAAAAAGAAAGAGATGGGTGGCGAGTGAGGAAGAGGGAGAGGGAGAGAGTGATTGAAAATATATAACAAATTAATAATAATTATAATTAAAATCTACAATCTACGGTTCAACAAAAATAAATAGATACATATGTAGAAATAAAGGGAAAAGAAAGAAAATGATGATTCAGTGAATTAGCGCTAGGGAGAGGGAGAGATGAAGAGAGAGAGAGAAGCGTAGATGGGGAAAGAGAGAAAAAATGAGAGAAAGAGAAAAAGAGAGAGATGGGGAATGAAAGGTAAAGAGTAAGATGGAAGAAGTTAGAGAGAGAGAGAGAGAAAGAAAGATAGAGTGTGTGAGAAAGAGAGGGAGAAAGAGAGTGAGAGAGAGTGAGGGAGAGAGAGCGAGAGAGAGAGGGAGAGAGAAGCGGCGATGGGGAAAGAGAGAAAAAGTGTGAGAATGAGAGAGAAAAAAAAGAGAGAGATGGGGAATGAAAGATAATGAGTAAGATGGAAGATGTTAGAGAGAAAGAGAGAGAGGGAGAAAGAGAGAGTGAGAGAGAGAGGGAGAAAAAGAGTGAGAGAGACAAAAGAGCGAGAGCGAGTGAGGGAGAGAGAGAGAGAGAGCGAGGGAGAAAGAGAGAGGGAAAAAAAGAGTCAGAGAGACAAAAGAGCGAGGGCGAGCTTCATAAATATTGCAGAAATGGATTTCCACTCTTGAATAAATATAAAAGAAAATATTGAAAAAATCTATTTTTCTGAAAACTGAAAGATGCCTGGGGTCATCCGGATTTTGCCTTCAAAGCGTCGGACGAAATTTATTTCGTACATTTATCAGCGTACAACTTATATTTCGTGCACAATTGTCAAATTGCCTAAAGTCATAATTGGGGATTAATGTCATGGCCGTCGGTTGACAAAGAGAGTCAAGGAGACGGAAAAATCCGTGGCTTATGGAACTTTATTAAAGCAATAATTAAAATGGTAGTCATCGGCCATAGTGAATTAATATGCCGAAAGACTTAATGATGAAACCTTTATATGCCGATAAGGCTTCATTGTGAATAGTCTGTAATTCATTTGTACTTCAAGGGACGCCGCGGCGATCAGAAGCCACTTTCCGTCCACGTCGTTTCATAATATCCTTTGTGCTTGATTACAAATCGTGAGGTGACTGAATTCAAAGTGTCATCGGTGGGAAATCAGTTTTATTGGCATTCCGAGGCGTTGTAAGCGGGTACACAATAGAAGAAAAAATATACAATAACTATCAAGTCTATAAAAATATTTATTTCAAATTTGTGCTTATCCACACACAATACACGTATACCTTCCAGCATGTGTCATAGCGGAAGAACTAAGTTAAAACTGCAATAAATGGCAATGCAATAAATCGACAAACAACATCGGCTACTGAAACGGCTACTTGACAAAGTACTATTTTTTAACCTATTGAAGCCAATGTTAAAATAAACAAACCTTTTACCCTGCAGATTTTTAAATTTTTTATTGGACCTACAATTTTGGGCAACAAGCAATAGTAAACAAGAGTGAAAGAAACGATACAAAAAGCACAATAAAACACAAAACTATTATAGTGAAGAAACTACCTATTGGCAGTATTTCTAATTTACATTGCCTTGTATTTCACTTTATAGGTAATTGTAGATGATTTCATTGGATACGTAGAAGGGTGATTTTAGGATTTTGTTTTGAAGATTTTGAATTGGAATGTTTGAATTCTTTGTATGTTAGGACGCTTTGCCGAACCCCAAGAAGAAGGGGATGTTCCCTACACGACATAGAAGTGTCATGGTATGTTCAACTGCATATATCTGCTAAAAGATAGGACCCAGGACGCCTTCTTTCATCGGATGGTAGATAACCAGAAAAGTTCTGCTGGTTTAAGAGTTATAATAATTTTCACAAAAAACAAAATATTAGTTTAGAAATATTTTTTTCTGGGTCTCCATCAACTATAGCGTTTTCCCAGCGAGTTACTACCCAGTATTCTAATAAAAATTTGGGAATTTAAAAAGTAATCTCAGTTCATTTTCCAGATGTTTTTTTTTATTAACAAACTCTCCTTTGCGCATAAGATTGTCCATTGATAAGAAAGAATAAAAATCAGATGGGGCCAGGTCCGGAGAGTATAGAGGGGAGTATCCTTTGTCGTAGGACATCCTAACTAAACATCATTTTCACTTCGTCGTACGGGCTGGGTTGTATGAGGTCTTTCGTTATCCTGGTGTAAAATTACAAGATTTCCTTTCACAAGAGCATGTCGTTTCTGGGCCAGGGCAACAGATACTGGCTGCAGTAGGCTTGAGTAGATTTCTTCGGTGATAGTCTGACCACGTAGCAGGAGTTCGTACTGCACAATGCCCTACTCCACCATTCATTTGTTGGTGAATGTTCGGTTTTGGCGTCATTGGGACAAGTTCATTTAGTGAAAACTAATGATATGTCTTCCTGGTTTTATTACTATACAGGATCCATTTTTGATTGCATGTGACAATCTGGTCAAAAAAATGTCCCTACATCGTGCCGCGAAAGCAATTAAATGGAAGTGTTTATACGCTGGAACTTGTTAAAGTCGGTCAATTTGTATGTCTTTCCATGTTAATGTAAGGTAGAGCGAATACTTTCATTGCTTACGTTGAACACTGGCAAGCTCTTGACATCTTTGACTAGAATCAAGTTCGATAGTTTCTCTCAATGCTTCGTCATTAAAGACAGTAGTCCAACCAGACGATGGCTCATCCTCAATCCCCTACTTCCCAGAAGGAGCTTTTTGAACCACTTTTGGGCAGTGTGCTCTCTTATTTTTTCATCACAGAATGCTGTACAAATTTTACCGCCTCGGCCGCCCAAGCACCTAGCTAAAATTAATACGATTTGCCACAGTAAGCCATAAGCAAAAAAATATTTTATAATTTACAGCTCCCACTGCCTGCTGGTCTGACAGATCTGTCAGATTTGTATATAACTACAATTTGCTTAATGTATATTTTCTACTGATAGCAATAAATAAATAAAAAATAATTTACAGTTTAAGTCATTTTTTTAATGAACCGACTCAGTAATCTCTTGGTATTACGTGATGTAAACATCAAATCCTCTTATGTAAAAAGAAATGTTGATTAACAGTTCCGTCGCTAAAATGTAAATATCGGTCATCGAGGTAGCTACGTAGGTACGTTAATGGGAGGATGCCCATGAGTAGCGTCAGCAAGCCAGGACGGCACACGCGATCAAAGTCCTGAGCCACATCGAGGAACTGCCCCTGAACAGTATTGCCACTGCTCGAGGGTAACTTTAACAACACGTTGTGTGGTGGATTGGTGGCTGCGGAACTGATGGTCAGAATGATATTTTCAATCTTTAAGATATGCGTGATTCGTTTTAGGAGTTGCTCTAGAATTTTCCCCATGATTAGCAATAACTTAATGGGTCTTCAGGAATGTTGGTTTGCGTTTGGATATCATTCGATTTATGGTGTGTTTCCAGGTCACAGGGAAGTAAGTCGTGCAGGGTACTGAATTAAAGAGGTTGGTGATATGGAGTATTGCTTTCTCGGGGAGATGAGGGTATGAGATATAATTTTCGTGGGTTTGAGGTGTTGTCTAGCATATAAAATTTTTGTAGGGGAGAATACCGTTATCTAGGCGGTAGAGATAACGAGAGCGGAAATTTTAAGAGTTCAAATAAATTATGGCTGGTTAAGTTTTCATGGGGTGAAAAATAAGTCGTGACAGGAAGAAAACAGGTTTGACTTCATTTCGCCTGTCGAAAAGGAGAGGACGCTTTGGTGTAATTTAGGATCTTTTTTGTTGCCACCATGAGCGATCTTTTCTGTTGTCAGTGTTTCAGTTTAGTTGCAAAATTTGTCTATAAGTATTTCCGTAGTTCTTTAATCAGCTGATGGTTCTGTCTGTTTAGGAGTGTTTTGTCAAATTGATATCGTATCCTTTGCCATTGCTTACGAAACTGTTTTTTTTACTAAGTGTCGTACGTACAACGGTACAAATTATGTGTTGGTCGGAGGTGTTCCGTCGCTGTATGTATTGTGTTGAGTTGTTAATTGATTCTGCTATTCTTGTATTAAATCGTTCTGTTGCGGTGTTTGCTTCGTCAGGTGTTTTAAGTGAAATTTTAAGTCCAGTTTGTTTTCTATGGGTATGGGTAATTTTATCTAGTCCGCAAATTATGGTAGCTCCGAGAGCAACAAGAATAGATCAGTGTAAATGGTTACTTTGGTCAGAGGAGAGATCGTTTAGATAATAATTTTTTACAATATATATTTACTTCAACTTTGTCGTTACTTATTGACTTGAGGGTAATGAGGCAATGAGAAAAATCTTGACAATAAAATCGATACCTTTTATTTGTTGCACAGTCAACTACATTGCACGTTATTTCTATATAAAATTAATATCTTAAGGAGGTATATGTTGCAATTCACTAATAAATAAAAACAAGGTACAAATGTTATTTACAAAAAAAATATGGTAAATAATTTTTAGAACTTAGACAACTACTATTTACAGTTCACCTGTTGGCCTGACAAGTGTCAATTCTGTTGCAGCGGGATTTCCGCGTGCGTGTCCCGTGGTTTAAAAAAATGGGATATACAACCTCAACGAGTGCTCCTAATACATTTACATTTTATACAATAGCCGAATGTTTGGTTATTTACAATTTGTCAAAAAGACGACCCCGGCCGAAAGTCACGAGAGACTATTATGTACAAGCATTATCTACAAATTAAACATAAATAACGGCTTTGAGAAAAGCGGCTTAAAACTATTACAAATGTACAACTTTGGAGATCGCTAGATTTTCTAGTTGTACAGCCCGATACGTCAATGGCTCTTAAAACAGTATTGCACCTTAAATTTATTCCACCCGTCTTTTCGTAGCAAAAGTTACTCATTTATGTAATCAATACAGTTAATAAAACAGAGAAAAAATAAATCATGACATACGTTTGAGGTTCTTTCGTTGAAAACTTCCCTAAAACTAATCTTGAACACAATTAGAAGAAAACATGCTCAAAAAACTGACATCGTCATTCTAACATATTGTAATATGTCCTTGTTCAATTATTATGTTGTGTGTTTACATAAATCATTAGTGTAAACGATCAAGATTCAATTAAGGCTACAAGGCCTTATAAATCAACTGACAGTTGATAATTAAATTTTCTAAATTTATTATTTCGTGTTTTATCCAGAAGTGGTTTGGAAATTTTGTACAGGAAATACAATTGTAAGTGGATCCAAAGGTGCCTTGAATCCCGAGGGAAAGTTTGTCGGTTTTGTTCATATGTGCGAGAGCCTGTGGAGCCTGGAAAGCTGTGGGGTGTCCTGCTGGTGCCTTGCTGCGAGCCGGTTCACGTGTACCGGGATGGGTACAACGATCTTGCAAGGTCCGCCCGAGGGTGCGCAGCCCCTGTTCGCACCCCCTGCTGCCCCCGAGAGGCCGGCTTTAACCCTTTTCCATTTGGCCCTTCTATTTTGGAACCAAATTTTCACCTGAAAAACGACAATTGTTTCAATTAAAATTTTCTGAATTATAATTAAATCTTGACAAAATTATTGTTTTGTTTGTTTTTGTCCATCCACCACCCCCGTGCCAGCCCAAACAGGCGGACCACGTCAATTATCTAAAATTTCCGCGATGTCAGATAGGTTAAATCGATATTTTTCTTTTATAAACTCTTTCAGGCCAATTTTCTGGGAGGTGTCTTCTTTAGTTGTCCCTTTCTCTCCGTCGAAGAGTGTACGAGAATAATTTGTGCTTTACACTATCCTCAGTTTAGCACACTGAGCATAACGGGTTGTTGACTCTTATAAACTTGTAGAAGTTAATAGAAAAATCTGAGTACCTGACCTGATAACATTTGCGTTGCATAAAAATCGGGAAGTACACACCTTGCCCTTTTTAAATTGTACGGAAGTATGTAAAAGTAAGTCAACCCTTATTGCTATTTTCCCATCTGGTTCGCCACCTTTCGTATATTTATTTTTTATAAACATCACGTATTGCTTTCTCGGCACACTCTGAGCCATTCCAGTTCATGATTTTCAACGTCTCACAAGCTTGGCTTTTTTATCCTTGATTTCCCTAAGTGCTATCTTGCTTTGAAGGAAATATCAATGGGTTGGGTATAAGTTATAACTTGTAAGGTCTGGGTGGATGTGGTCCTTTTTTGACTTTGTACATCTCACTATGCTCAAGGATGTTTCTGGTACTGCCTTTTATATTTGTCGAACTGCACTTCCTACGTAGCTATGGTCAGGTGCTTAAATTGCCCATTTCGTTTTTGCTATTCCACTGAGTTTAAAGAATATATGCCAACTACTCTCTCTTATTTTTATGGCTAGGGGTATGGTATTGTATGGTATGGTATTAAGGATACTAGGAAGCGGGGTTTGTGCTCCCCAGACACTGCAACCTTCTGGGTTATTTTACCTTCCTAGTTCCTTAGTTCAGTGCAATAGACTCAATCCTTCTCGTTAGAAGTATCAGGTCATTCACTGTCGCTGCTACAATTTCATTCCATAAGCTTTTTTTTCGTATGTTAAGTTAAATCTCCTCTGAGCTGTTGCTTCACATTCGAAGTTGATACGGGTGGCTGTTTCCTCATCCTCATTACATAATCTGCAGATGGGATCTTCGCTGTATATGCCCATGTTGTGCAGTTGTTTTCTCAGATGCCAGCGACTTCCTCTGAGTTTAGCCTCTTTCCAATTGCAGCAATGCTTTTGCCAGTCTGGTGAGGGTTGTTTCATCATAAGTTTACTGTGTCCAGCGCCGCTAGAGTTTATCCACTTTTCCTTTTGATTTGTTTGGATCCATTCTGCGATGGAGCATTCCATATTTGTTTTTGTTATCCCAAGTGGCTAGGGAATGGGGTTTAAATTTTCTCCTATTTCTATTCCGAGGTATTTCAGGCGGACAGATGAGCTTAAATTTTACTTTTAATTTTAGTGTGTGGCATTTATGAGGGAAGATTGACCTTTCAGCTATAGCACTTTTGGCTTTTTTTTTTCTCGCCCCCTTTTGGCATCAGCTTCTATCAGTTTTACCAGGTCATTTAAAAAATATTTAATTCAGTCTGTTCAGTGCCTTCAAACAAAATGATGCCTAAGAACGATTTTCGGCAAATTTATTTCTATGAATTTAAACTTGGGCGAAGTGTTGCACAAACCGCTAGAAACATTAATCATATTTGGGGGCAGGAACCATAAATGAAGTGCAGCGTTGGTTTCAAAAATTCCGTATTGGAGATTATGACCTGAGCAAAGAAGGTGGTGGCCGTCCTTGTTCTGTTGATAACGACCAGTTAAAGGCTGTAGTTGAAGCTGACCCCACAAAACCTACTCGAGAAATGGCGGAACAACTTGCTGTTGACCAATCCACAGTAATTCGCCATCTGGAAGCTATTGGAAAAATAAAGAAGCTCGCCAAAGTGGGTTCCGCATGAGCTGAACGACCGCCAAAAGGATCGCAGTTTCGTTCAATTTTTCCGTATGCAACAAAAATGATTCATTTCTCAGTCATATAGTAACGTGTGAAAAATGGATATTATACAATAGACAGCGTTCTATGCAATGGCTAGATAAGAATGAAAAACCAGGGTACTTCCAAAAGCGAAGCTCACGTCCAAAAAATATATGGGTACTGGTGGTCATCTCAGGACTCATTCATTACAGCTTCCTCAATCCGGATGAAACCATCACTGAAACCATCCAAAGTACTGTAATGAAATTAATGAGATAGACCGAAAACTACTACGACCATGGCCAATCGGAAGGGGGCCTATCCTCCTTCACGACAACGCACGCCCACACGTCGCACAACGGACTCTGGGAGGACCACCATACTCACCGGATCTTTCTCCTACAGATTATCACTTTTATAAACATGTCAAAACCGTTTTGTACCAGAAACCTTTCAGAAACCAGAATAACACTGAACATTCATTTCGGGAATTCATCGATTTCAGAGGCGCTAGTTTCTAAATATGCAAAAGTGTATAGAAAGTAATGGAAGTTATTTCGATTAAATATATTTAATTAAATATATTAATTAAATTGTAGTTAGTTTTTACTGAACATCAAAAATCTGCATTATTTTTGCATTACCCCAATAAAATAGTAATGGAAAAGTGATTTAAAAAAATTATTGACCATTTAGTTATATTTAAATTAAAAAAATATAAATTGTTGTAAATGGTAAAGAGTTGATTAGTACCTGGACTTCGCTGAGTTTAAGTGCGGATGCTATTTGACTCCTTTCCGTGAGGCTGAGATACTTTTTGGCATGAAATTCCCTTTCAAGTTCGAGCAGTTGCTCACTGGTGAAGGCCGTCCTCCGCCGTCTAGTTTTGCTGACGCCCTCGCTCTCTTCGCAGCCGCTCTCCACTCCGCTCGTCTCACCTTCCGTCCTCGCTGAAACGTAATTTTCTCGTTTGAACGAAGGTTTTATGGTACGCCTGGCTGTGGATAAAGACAATTGGATTACAGGACGAGAGGAAGAAATCGCAGCGGCCTCCGGTAGTCACGGCATCGGCCGACCGCGACGACGGCAATTTGTTAACGTATAACAACAGTTAGCCGCTACTTGCCCACCGCAGCCGGGCTGTGACAACCGCAGAAACGATCGTGGGAATGCCTCGGGAGACGACCGATCTACCCGGCCGATTACGGATACCCGAATACTCCAATTATTAAACAATAATCACATAATTAACAAACAGCCCAATTTATACAAAAATAATTAACGCTTTGAGTAACACCGCGGAACCAATAAGTAAATGATTAAAAAACACTAGTTACATAAAGTGGAGTTACCTACTGGTAGAGTTACATTAATGTTTTGAGTCCTAAGATTTTCACTCAATTGCTACTGTTTTGGTGATCATTAGGCCATCTACAGTCAGCGCTTCCATTGAGTTACTTTCAGGATAAATGGAACATTTAAAACCACGTGAATGTTTCATTTGATACTCAAAATGGATCATACATGATTTTTCTAAGAATTTTGGATTGAGCTTATCGAATATGGAAGATATCCGCAGTTATGAGAGGATTTTGTATCGTTTTAATTAGTCCTTATCGTTTAAGCACTACGTCAATAGTTTTTCTGACATACTAGTAACGATAGCCTTGGTTTAGTGGTTCTGCCGTTAGTTTCCTGTGGTCTATGAGCTTTGTTGCATGCCTATGTCCTAGAATACGTTCCCATTGAACCGAGAACTTATTCTTAACCAATTTATTGATCTACTTTTTTGGCAATTTGGTATGCCAAGGTGCCCATAGATGACCAATTTATTGGCCTCCTATTCGCCCTTCTGGCTCTGTCATATTGTGTCTTGAAGAAAAGACCATATAAGCATTTTATAGGTTAAATAATGTTCCTAAACTGCTTGGACTGTAAATTTACCAGAATTGTGTTTAATTGTTGAACTCATTTACAGATTCCGTCTACACTCGCGGGTTTCGATTCAAATGCGTATCGGATTGGCGCCTTCTTCAGTGAGTTACTCTACTACTTCAGTACCTAGTAAGTGACCGAACAATAATTTAACATTTACCTACTTGCTGATCAATATCCTCCATCAAATTGTATAAAATGCCATTTAAAAACAAAGTTAAATAACGTAAAATTTGTCGGTGCACATCCCTAATTTCTTAAGTGTAAAAATTTAACATAATGCCATGAAGCCTACGAAGCGATGTCACTATTGGCCAAATGAGTAGTAGTCGTACAGACCAAATTTATGGACACGAATTATATTTTGAGAATGTAGGATTGGAAGAATGATTAAAAAATATGAACTTGTCTATTTTTTCCCAAATGGGTAGTAGACCTAACATCCCTCTACCCCAACTGGCTATTGTAAATTGTAGGAATTGGGTATTTATCTTTCAGATATAAGTATCATTAATTTTATAACATTTAATTTTAATTTTTATTATATTGTGCATTGTTGTTAAATGATACCTGAGTTGATCGAATGATGTCAGATTGTCTGATGAACCTCCAAAAGGGTTTATGAATTTTTTAAAGCGATACTTCGATAATCACACGGTTGTTTCAAACCCTGTTGTACCCCGTTTGTCAAATGAGTTAGGTGCGAATGGAATAAAAGCTAGGGGTCGAGCTTTTGCCCCATATCCTGTACAAATATAGAAATACCGTCCCAGGATGGCCCACGTTCACACATAACATCACGTTGCCCCAGGGCACCTTGTGGTTTCCGCTTAAACGAATATTTTCCCCCGTGCATCAAACACCAGCACAGACAATTAAACCGGAAGGAAAACGTTTATGTCATTGTTGAATGGAAAAAGCATTCGACGTTGGTCGACTGCAACACCAAAAACCAATTCTGCAATTAAGTTTCTATATGCAATTAAGTTATAATTAAAACAAAGTATAATTAGATTTATTTATTTATTTACGGTTTCCGGATTACAAATGTTTACAATAAAAGTATTAAAGTTATAACTTTAAGTAATTTTAGAACTATTTAAATAATAAAAAAACAATAAAACAAACAATTTAGAATGAATAGAAACAATTTGAAAATGTATTAACACTATATCATAATCAAATTCAATATTAATTATATTAATGAAACTATATTTAATTTTCTAATAATAAAATTTGCTTAAACTGACGTTAAATATATCTATATTTTCGAACGAGTTTAACAAATTTGTTGTTCTTGGTAAAAAACTGATTTTTTTTAAAAAGATAGTTCCTACACACAGTAAGTTGTTTTCAATGATCCGAGTTTAGAGCTTATAGCTCATCATCAGGTTGAAGGAGTTCTACAACCTGATGATGAGCTGTAAGCACGAAGTCCGGATGGTTGAAAACAACTTACTGAGAATAGGAACTATCTTTTTAAAAAGATAGAACAACACACTCACTTCACCATTCAACTCGATAAAACTGAATTTGGCATAATTAATTCTATAGCAATCGATGGAGAATGTTATCTGACTTCTGGAATGATAAGATGATACCAAAATCTATAACAATTTCACTCCGAATTAGGAGCGAGTCTGATATGTCGCAGTTAAATTCGATAGGAGATTTTATTTTACGGAAAGTTATAACTGAACATTTGTCGGAATTTAAAAGAATATTATTAGCTGTTATTAGCTGTTCAATTATCAAGTTTTACTAAGGCATGTTGCAGTTGTAAGCAGTCAGAAACAAAATTAATTTTTAGGAAAATTTTTAATTAATCTGTAACGTAAGATCGTAACGGATGGAAGTGAATCAGAGATATCGTTTATATAGAATTTAAACAGAAAAGGCCCTAAGTGCGACCCTTGAAGAACTCCAGAAGTTGCTAGAAAACTATGCGGCAATACTGATTTAAATTTTACTTTAAGCATTCGACCTTCTAAATAGGATGCAACCCAATGTAACAAGTTATCATATATGCCTAATTTTTCTAATTTCTGTAGTAGAATGGTATGATCAACACTAACAAAAGCTTCTGAAGAGGCAGTGTAAATACAATCAACTTGTAGTCCTTCGGAATCTTGAAGCAAATATCGTGATTAGAAAGATAATTTGTTCGTAAAGACAAACATTACGCTTTAATAACAAATTTGTTGACGATTCAAAGATCAAAGAAGAATTGTTTGTAGCTTTGAGCATCATCGGTATGGCCAACAGGTTGTTTGACTATCATTGAAGTACAAGACCGGTCTTGTTAACTTGTCAGAACAATTTCTGTTTGGTCGTAAAAATGTAAACATCCTCTCTTCGGAAGTCGTAAAGGATTTTTAGAAAATCATTAACTATTAATGAGACCGATTTATTCCACGTTCTCCACTTCTCGGTAGACGGCCGGAGGCGCCGGCTGACTCGGAGGAAGTAGATATGATGTTTTTGGGAAGCCGATTAAAACCGATTTACTATTCACGTCGTGCCGGCTCAGGATAGGACACAGGCGAGCCACGAATCTTAATCGACCCTTTCATCCTACCGGCGTTTCGAATTAACCTTTGACGCGTAATTCGCTAAACTTTCTATGTATACATGTGTCCGTGTAAGCTTGATTGAAATTCCCCTTGTTTTTTAGGTTTATCTCGTATATTTAAAATTATCATTGGCACATAAATCTAGTACAGATAATATTGGGAGATTTATTCTTAAGGTCCCCCGGTTGATGAACCAGTAGTTTGGTGGTTTCAGATATTTTAGTTTAGTAAAAGACATTGGTGGGTTTCTTTGACTACATGCTCTATGATGTATATTATCATGGATAGATAAATTGATGATTAGATAGATACATAGATGAATAAAATGATATAAAGAAAATCGACATATAAGTAGACGGATAGAGTGATAGTTTGGGCCTGTGAAACGTGAGGATCTTCAGTGGTGGGTTTGTTTGGATAGTGATAGGGATGAGAGAGGCGGCCACAAGGCTTACTGTACCTCGACCTAAATAGACCTATTGTGCTCCTCTGTTAATTATAACACACTGGCCAGCTTCAGGCTATTAACCAGCTATTTGCCAGCGGTTCCTTGGTGTAGGATCTTGCTTGTGGTTTTTCTTGTCCTAGTTGCAAGAACCTGCATAGACCTTCGCAGAAACATAAAATTCCTCCTCTTCCTGGCAGTATCTGCACAGTGTTTCTTCTGCCTGTACTCCTATCCGGTACTCCTACTCGAGTATGCTTTGCACGTAGGTGTAGGCTGAGCTCGATTGGAGGCTTTTACCATAGGCGGTACTCCTCTAGGGGGTGGATAGATATTCCAATTTAATCAAAACCGCGGCCGGAGCGGATCCGGTAGTTTCTACGCTAGAGAAGCCCCAATACTACGGGAGGTAGAGTGGTCTTCTCTATCTAGGGAGTGCGCGGGAGACCAGGCCTATGTATTTCGGCTTAGGTAGCCCTATACGCGCGGCATACAGTCTGATGCTTAATGCAGACCCGACCACTCGGTATGGGCAAGCGGGGAGAGAGGTTATCTTGGGCCTTCGGGGCTGAGCTGCCTCCTACACCAATGCTGCGGCAGTACCACCATTCTGTCATATGTGGAGATGCATCAGCTCTCATCTTGAGAGTCAAAACGTCCGATAAGGCCGAATAGGGCTAGGTGCGGACGTTAAAGATCCTCATTCTCCTTTTTAGGACGACCGGGTATACGGGAAAGCATGCCCCGTCAGGAGTCCAAGCAGAATCCTTGTTCGGCTGCGGTTGCCTTCCAGTAGTCCTTTTGTAAGTTTTACGGATGGTTTCTATGAATCTCTTCGTGTGCCTGATACCTTTGATATTGTTCCACCACGTTTTGTAGTCATTAAAGATCCATTTTAAGATGTATCCTCTTTTGTGGCAGGCTGCTAGGCCGTAGTAGGGTTCTAGGCCCATAGAGTTGCCTCCTTTTTGGCCAGCATGTCAACCTTTTCATTGCC